GGAGGGCAGTGTCACTGGCCCTCATATGTGGGATCCGAACCGGGGCCCTCTGGCATCCCAAGCCAGTTCTTAACTATCGCGCCACTCGGCCGGCCCAGTTTGATCCTTTTTAGGTCTTGCTTTTATGATTTATGTTCAGAGAATCCAGAGCAGTGCTCAGTTTAGGGCTGATTATTCCTCACTACCGAGACAAGCCCTCCTGAGGACCCTACCCAATATTCTGTGAATTATGTGTTTTACCAATCTAACTGTCATGATCAGCCACTTACAGCTCTCAGCATGCATCAGGCACTGTTCTTGAATGCTTACAAATGTTTTTTCCCCCCTCTACCTTCAATAGTTACCTCATGCATGAATGCATTGATCAATACTCTGTTGAACACTTGGGATGAGTTAGGGACAGGAGAATCTTGGTAGATCTTGGGAGTTTTGTCTCTGGGCAACTCTTTCTTCTTAATTACTCCAGCTTCCTTGGTCTCACCAGACTCTCAGCTGCCTCCCCTCAACTCTGGAAGTGCACGGGACTCTACCTGGGTACCTCTGCTTTCTGTCCAGCCTGGAAATTTTCTCAAAGTAGTGATTTAGAGCAATCATAGGACTCACCCTGTCTATGTCTATCTTTCAGGTAATCACTATTCCTCATTACCTGACATCTAATGTCTTGAAGCCATTGCTTCACATATTTTGTTTGGTGTATGCCTATTATTTGTTTTGTTTGGAGAAGGAGAGGAATCTGGTTCCTGTTGTCTTATTGTAGGTGACTTAGTATTTTCTTTCTGGAAGCTTTTTATTATATTCTTTTATCTTTAGTGTTCAAAACAGGCATGGATAGATTTAAGACTTTTCCCTCCTATTCAGTTGCTAAGTGATTTAATTTAAAAATGTTTCTCTTTATCACTGGAAATGTTTATTCTTTAAAAAAAAAATTCCTCCCTTTTGATATCTCTGCTCTATCTTTCTAGAACTTCTACTTGTTGGGTATCAGATTTCTTGGATGAGTTCTCCATGTCTTAACTTTTTTCTCATATTTACTATCTCCTTGATGTTATTATTCTACATTTTTAGAGATTTTCATAACTTTACCTTCTAACTCCTTTATTGATTTTATCAATTGCAATTTTCCAGAGCTCTTATTTTCCTTACATTCATTTATCACAACATGTAACACTTGTTTTATGGTTGTCAAAAATCTTATATTTCTCTGGGCATCCTAAGGAGAGTTTTCTTCTATATCTTAAATTATCTTTGGGTCTTATTCAATAGGTCCTTTTTTTTAAAAATCTTTATCTTTTATGTGATAGGTATTTACTCAAATATCTGGTGCTCTTCTGGTGTCCTGCTTATATTTTCAAATGCAAAGGTTGACTGGAAGCTTGATGCTCTCAGCAGAGCTTGTCAACTACCAGGAAGTTTTTTCAGGGAAAGCAGACAGGCAGGAAGGAGGCTGTTATTTCAGGATCCCTACCCACTTATATTCTAAATGTCAAAATGTGGAGAGCTTCACTCTCAGGCAACAAAAGCTACACGAACCAATGAGTTCTTTTTGTCTTGTTTTCCAGTTTCTTTAGAGAACTCCCGCCCACTCATCCTTGTTCCCTGTTTTTCCTAGGGTAGAAGTGACAATTGGTTGCCTGTCATTTGGAGGATGGTGGTGGTGGGTTGGAGGCATAGACTGTTACATAACAACTTTGAATTAATTCCTTCGTTTTCAGTATCACCAATTTCCAGTCTTTATCCTCCATTTTATCTTCCTCCTCCCCATTGATTTAATCTATCTGACCCTTTCTTCTGTATTCTGGAACAGCTTTTCAAGTATGTCAACTGATTAGATTTTGTTGTGGTGGGGGTGGGGGGCAGTGAATTTGGTTTCTCATTTTAAATGCAAATTTTAATTCTACTAATGAATTTTGAGACTTATTACAATCTTTCCTTATGTCATCCACCTCCCTTTTTAATTTGCTTGCTCTACCTACCTCTCATTTCTATCTTTTACAAGCTCTATTCTTAAAAAATACAAAAGAGATTATTTTTCTCAATTTTTATATTATTTCCTAGAGGAATCTTTTAAAAAGGCATGCTGGGGGCCGGCCGAGTGGCTCAGTTGGTTAAGCGCTCGCTCAAGAGTTTGAGCTCTAAAATATTGAATAACTATGGTGTATCCTGAAACTAATATAATGTTGTATGTTAACTATATTTTATTAAAAATATTTTTTAAAAATGCAAAAAAAAAAAAAAAAAAAAGAGTTTGAGCTCTGAGCAACAGCGGTTTGATTCCCAGCCTGAGCTAAGCAGCCGCTGAGCTGCCAACCGGTGGTAGGAATGGCTCAGCTTAAAAAAAAAAAAAAAAAAAAAAAAAGCATGCTGGGCCAGCTGAGTGGCTCAGCTGGTTAAGAGCTCGCTTGGGAGCACCAGCTCTGAGCATCAGGACTGTGGTTTGGAGCCCACATTGAGGGGCAGTGACGCTCGCCCTCCACAGCTAAGATGCTGAACAACAGCTCGACCTGGAGCTGGGCTGCTGTGAGACGCTGGCGATGGCGTAGGCTACAGCCCCTGCTGCAGTGGGTTGCCATGGGCTACCGTATGTAGCCAGCAGCCAGCGTGAGCGGCTAGCAGCCGCAGTGAGCNGGGCAGTGTCACTGGCCCTCATATGTGGGATCCGAACCGGGGCCCTCTGGCATCCCAAGCCAGTTCTTAACCATCGCGCCACTCGGCCGGCCCAGGCCACATATTTTTGTAAATCGTTTCCTTGGAACACAAACACACCCATTTGTTTAGGCATTGTCTGTGGCTGCTCTCAGGCCACAATGGCATTGTTGAGTAGTAGGGCACACAAAGCCTAAAACATTACTATCTAGCCTTTTAGAGAAAAAGTCTGCGACCCCTACTCTAACCCTTGATTCCTTTAAGCCATATCCTATCTTTTTTGTCTTTTTATGCCAGAGAAAGAGTGCAAAAAGGCACCCTCTGTATTGTTTTTCTAAAGTCAGTCCAACAGAAAGAATGCCTTTAGGTGAAAACCTACACCCTGGACCACGCAGGTGGCCTTGGTCTCACCTCAGGTGAGGTTTCCTCAAAGTGGAAGAGGTAATATCACTTTTCCAGGTCCCCTACCACTCCCGAGGAGTTCAAGACAACAGAGAAGAAATGGCGCAATTCTTTGACTAAAGCAAACTAAAGTACATCTCCATTTCTTCAAGTTAAGTACTATTAGTGGATAATTGGCTGTAATATTTATACATTAAATATTTGCATTTAATGTATATTTTGGCTCCTTACTTCTGAAAGCAAACTCTCCAGAGACATAGGATCCATCTTGCTGTAGACATTCCATAGATTCAAACTCACATCCTGCAACTGCAACACAAGGACAAAAAATTGAAATAATTGAGAGTCAATATCATTAGGACAATCTAAATTATTTTCTGACATTCAGAAATTACTATCTTGGTGAAAACTCAGTGATTAGAATAATAAATCAAATTTTTATCAATTATATTAGAACCTACACAAATTAATAAATGCTGTCCCATTCAAGGAAATTATCTTTTCAGAAACTTTGGTACACTTTTTGAATATCTGCAATGATGGGCATTTATATTTACATATTATACATACACGCACATATATATACATACATATTATACTTTTTGCCTTTAAAATAACTTTTATTTAAAACAATACATGCCATGGTTTTAAAAAATCAAATAGTACTACAGGTTTATAATTAAAAATTTTTAATCTCCTCCAACCTTTCACAAACCTCCATGAGTCTCACTCCTCAGAGGTTACCACTTAGAAGTCTTTTAACATTTTCTTCCGGTAGTTACCTTCATATTTTGTTATAATATACATCTGTCACTATTTCTTGATTTATCAATTTAGAAATGAAATATTGACTTATAGCAAAGATGTAGCTCTTGTATGCCCATGCCCACTTTTTCTATATACACACACACAACCCCCTAAGCATTATCTAATCTACTATCATAATGACTTTTTTGGTTACACCAGTAATTACAATATTAAGACCATATATATACATATATATAATTTTATATATTTATATATATATATAAAATTTATTGCAGGCCAAGTACATACTACACTATTATTTGCTTCTTAAACAAATTTTGTTTTTCCTAGAACTATCAACAGCTTCACTTTTTTCACTTGTGTAAATTAAAAAAAAAAAATCAATTCTGAAGTTTTTTCTAACTGCTCCACCTAACTGTTTACACTAAGGTTTCTCAACAGCAATTCTATTGTCATTTTGGGCCAGATATTTCTTTTTCCTTTTTTTTATTTTTATTTTTATTTTTTATTGGGGAATTGGGGGATGAGAACAGTGCTGGGGAATTGGGGGAAGGGGAACAGACAAGTTGCTGTCATTTTTTCTTCTTCAATCTAGTTGTGGAGGACGTTGCTTCACTGGCCCAAGCTGGCACCATCATTGCACTCTTCCTGGGCGAGGCAGATCAGTCGCCGGCTTCTG